ATATATATATATATATATATATATAACAGTAAACATAAGTATATATATATATATATACCAATATATATATATATATATATAAGTATATATATATATATATATATATATATATATATATATATATATATATATATATATATATATATATATATATATATATATATACACTTTCATTACATATATGTAATGATATTAAAAGTATATATATAGTATATAATATATAATACATATATATTATATATGTATATATATATATATATATATATATATATATATATATATATATATATATATATATATATATATATACTTTTAATATCATTACATATATGTAATGAAAGTAGTATATTAGCATATAGTATATTAGCAATAAAAATAATATTTTTTTCAAGAGCCCATTTTTGCCAAGTCCACTGTTCTCTTGATCTGCTGTTAGCAAATGATTCAAAACAATAGGTACATAGATACTCTTCATCTTTAGGTAAATATAAGACTGTAAAAGTTTTTTGTTAAGCGAAATTTGACTTTATTAATTCTTTTTTACTTCCATTAATAAATGATTTATAATTCTTATTAATATTTCCTTTTTTAGTTTTTTTTTTTAATAATTAGCAAGCCATGCTTTGACAGGTGAATAAGTAAGAATCATAGATGAACGCTTTTTCCTACTTCTTTTTGACGCTAACCTTGGACCTGCTTTAGGCTGTGGTCTTATACTTTCAGGTAGTACAATTGAATTTTTTAAAACTAATTTTATAAAACTTGAGGCAATTGTGACAACCATCCCTACATATTTTGGACAAACGACCCCTTCTATGTAAGTTGCAAGACGCCTGTAAATTTACCTAAAATCGTGTGAATTTCATGAGATTTTTTTGTAGATTAAGTTACTCAAATGAATAAAAAACTTTAAAAATGTACGTTCAAAGCAAAATAAAATAATTTTCGTTTAATAAAAGAAAATTTCTAAGAGAGTGAAATTTAACTTTTTCGTATCAAAACCCTATAAAAACGAATAACTTTTTTTCTACACGCTAAAAAAGGCTGTAAATTACAGTGAAAATGTTTTTTTTTATATAACATTTCCGTTGTACGATTTTAAAGTTCTAAACTTTTTCTACATTTTTTGTAATAAACGTTGTGACAACCAACCCTGAGTAATAACCAACCCCGCTTTCCCCAATGCAATAGTATATTAAATAGTACATTAAATAATACATTAAATAAATACATTTATAAAATCTGTTGTTGGTCCTCTGCATACTGGGCAGTAATTAATAGCACTACTTTTAATGGCTTCAACACATTGCTGGCATAGGTAAAGATGGAGGCAAGGGAAAACAACAACTTGAAGATTGTTGACAAGGCAAACTTTACAAACATTTTTGATTGGTCTACACATCACAGCAGCTTGTCCATTTGATTGAGATTCTTCATCAACAGTATGTTCCTAAAAAAAAGTCCTAAAATATAAAACATCTAACTAGTAGAATTCTCTGTCACTGTCCCAACAAAGGGAGGTCGCTACCTGTCAGTAACAACAACAACAAGCCCTTAACATAAAATGCAGTAAATACTTTTTGTTTATTGTTAAAAATTGTGATTAGTTATCTAACCCGTTCAATGAATTTTTGAACTTCCTGACCACTTGGCATTTTTATATCGTTGCAAAGGAATGATGCAGCTTCAAGAAATTTGGTTGTAGTCCACTCACCACTTGCAAGCTTTTCTTCATACCCACGAAAACGCTCATGCTGCTTTGACGTGCTCATGCTGCTTTAATCGTGCTCAATATGTACACATTGACGATAAATCACCAAAAACGTAACTAAATATTACTTGTGGCGTGCCACAAGGTTCTATACTCGGACCTCTTTTTTTTCTTATATATGTTAATGATTTTCATAAAGCATTCAACCTGAGGACAATAATGTTTGCCGACGACACAAATTTATTTTTATCGCACAGCAACATTACTATATTATTTGAAATTATGAACTTAGAACTTAAAAAAAACAAAAAAAAATAATACCATACAAAACGCCATCTATATTCATTGATAATATTCAAGTTAAAAGAGTAAAAACTACTCGGTTTTTAGGAATATATACTGATGAATACTGATCTTACATGGAGACAACAAATCGAAAATTGAAGCAACAAAATTTCAAAAAGTATTGGAATATTATACAAATCAAAAAGCTATTTAAATATGCGCACTTTAATGCAACTATATAATTCACTTATTACTGCCATGTTAACTATGCAAATATTGCGTGGGGCAGTATTAACAAAAGTAAACTAGAGCCTCTTCATCGTCATCAGAAACATATAGCACGTTTAGTTAATTCTTGTGATCGACGAACTCATTCAAAGCCTCTCTTAAGAAAAATGAATGTTTTAAATATATATCAACTTAACGTATATAATATTCTTTGTTTTATGTACAAATGCAAAGCAAAATTATCCCCGTCTCCTTTTTATAGTTTATTTATAACAA